TGCTTATTAGCTAATTTTAACACTCAAAATATCCAAGTCACTGATTGCCACAGCCACGGTCCTTGTAAATTCCTGCAGACGCCTTGCGGGATTCCACGACACCTATGAAATTCAAAACAAGCCTTGTAATGTTTTATAGTCATCTGTGGGGTTCCAGTAAAACAGGGGATCATTTAAAATGGAGCGCAAACCTGCATTAATGCTGCCAAACAATAGGCATATCTGCAGGCTTAATTAAAACAGTAAAATGAGTGTCTTGTAATCTTCCAGGGATTTATAAAGGGATGAAATGAATTTCTTTAATTTTTTTTTTTTTTGTAGCATTGGATAACTGAGTCCTATCACCTCAGGCATTAGTACTGACAAAGAGAGGACATCTATAAAACCTTAGATGGCCATGTTTCTGTTCACATGTGAAAGTAATCAAAAGATAAATTTCAAGCAATAACGGCTATGTTATTTATTATCTTCTAGGAAGGTAATCTGCTGTCTTGCAGCAGCAGAAAACTGAACTCACTCATGTGAAGACAAGACAAAAGTCTCGTCTTGTGTTCCGACTGGACTGTGAGCTGTATTATGAAGCAGTTCCACATAATGGGCAACTGTGCTTAATGTGTGTCATTAATGTACTGTACATGTAGGGTTCCTTGTGTTCTGGAGAAACTTTATGAATTTTCTTAACTTCAGTGGATGTAGGCTTTTTCGTATTTTATACAGTTGGGAAGAAATAAATATATACAATTTAATAAATCCTGGTGACCTTGTAGAAATTCTTTTTGTAATCAACATTGACATACTTTTGTAGTATTAAGGCCCTCTTTACTGTACCTCTGGCTTAGAATTCAAATATTATTCAATAGTTTCTGCATTTTGTATCATCTTGAGAGGAATTGGTGCATTATTAACACATTTTATTAGAACAGACCATTTTTTCATGTCACATTTATAGTGCAGAAGTTTGATGAACTGAAATGGACATTTTTGATTAAAATAACATGCACATGCAAATTAGCACAATGCAAGGTTGTTAGAAAAGGCCCAACAAACAACAATTTCATTTGTTGCTTGAGAGAGAAAGCAATAAAAAGTGGCTCTGCTACTCTCCATCATCTCTCAAGAAAGAATTGATTGTTTGAAATCTATTTACTTTCATATCTGAAGAGGCATATTAAAATGTTTAAATGTGAATTTTGAAAATCTGTATGAACAAATCCCCTTATTTTTCACAAACATTTCCTATAAAACTTTTAGAAAGAAAAGTCTTCTCTTGTGCTTCACTTAAAGTTCCATTTTATAATGTGTTTTTGTGAAATATTGGTTGAAATTTATAAGTATTAGAGCTAAAGTCACAATCTGTGAGTACTGAGTGGTATTGCTAGACTTTGAAGATATGCCTTCTATTCTGGCGTGCACTGTCCGTAAGAGAGTGCCCAGGCAGTTTAATGAATGGCACTAACTGATAGGGAGGACAGAACAGAAATGACACTTTCCAACTCTGACCTAGGTGTCAGAGCTAAATTCTGACTCGGACAACTTAGACTTAGCTTATAACGTTTCAGGTTTGCATATTTGTAATTTCTTCAAACTTAATTTAATTTAGCATCAAAAGTATCAGCATACAAAAGTATATATTTATAATATAATTCCTCATTTTTTACCACAGCTACAAAGATTTCACATTATCCTGATATCCTCACCAAAAGGGTATTTGTACAAACAAATATTCCATTGTGTTATTTCCAGCCCAGTGCCAGCACATTCCTTTTCAAGCAATAGCTTCCCCACCAGATATAGCTGGCTTCGATTCTACACTGATATAGCTTATTTGTGTCAACAGGCTGTTACCCTTTCAGAGCACCTGTTAACCACAATGCTAATCCTGTTTGCTTTGGTCTGCTGTAAAAGGAGTAGCTTTGCAAAGGCAGAGGAGCACTGTTCATTCTCTTCAGTATGAGATGGAGAAGTTCTCATAACCCCGTTTTTCACCCATTTGCACATACAGTATGTCTCTTAAGCACTTTTTCTAGGAACACACTTGGTTTAGGGACTCTTATCTGACAGTTATGTGTGGCCTGATACCATCTCTGGTACAATTACAGGACTTGGACAGGTTCTTGAGTTAAAAACAGTTGACATATTTTCCAAACCACTGTTAAATAAGTATAAAAAAGAAAAAATAACAAAACAGAAAAGCATTTGTATCCAAAGCTCACGTGCCATTTAGTGCATAAATGTAGTCTCACTGTTTGTACGAGAACAATATAAAATAAAACACAAAACTGTGAATAAACCTGTAATAGGCAGAACAAAATTACCATACATCCAGATTCAGATAACTAGTCTGGCCACAGTGGTTATTCATTTAGCTTTCTCTTAAGTACGTGAACATTAAGTACATCATTCTCAGAATCCCATTCATATAGCATAATGAGTTTTAGTCATTGTAAATGCATCATATGAGGCTATAGAACATTTTACATATACTAGTATATTACTTGTGAAATGTCACAGAAAGATCAGTGTGTGGTCTGCTATAAACTACACTAGGCAGCCACTTTTGAGTTTGTTGGTTGAATACTGTACACAAGACTTTAGGCTGACTGACTGGTCTAAATTGAAGTGCAGTATTAGTAACATGATCACTCTAATAAAAAGCTCATAAATCTTCCCAGTATTAGCCTGTGAACAGATGCAGGCATTGTGGTGAAGGATAAGGTATCACCTTGGGTATAGTTGATGGTATTACGAAGAACGCAATAGCACGATCATAGCCGTGAATTAGCACTGTAAATCTTTCCCCTCATAGTTAGCAATAGGTTTCCAAGTAGATTTAGTTACCAGTGGAGCTTGTTAAAAGGAGCAGTTGTCAATATATGCCTGAGTGTTGTTACATATTTTGTTTCTAGAATTAATCTACTATTTTAGTTATGTGACATCTTTTTAAGACCCCAGCTATTCTCGTAGGTGTGAAGTACATGTGTTTGTGTGTGCCGGTTTCAAAATAAAAACTTGATATGCTCTTTGTAGAACCTTTTAGTGTCATTCAGACGTGCTTGCCACTAAATTCATATTTGCTGGCCCTGAAAAGATTTTACAAGATTGACAATTTGCAAGTTCTTACTGAGTTCCTATGGTTTATGACTTTCGTAGTTATAAAGGGATTTTGAAATATGTTATGACAGCATCACCTTCTTCATAAAAGCAAGACCAATTTAAAGTCATAGAGCATCAGTAAAATTGAAAAGATCAGTATATGTTTTTGTGGATGTACCTACCTCAAGTAATACATTTAAACAGCCCTTACTTATAATTTATGATGAAGATCGATGATTATTAATGAAATACTTTTCAGTGGAAACATTTATAATTGTAATTTCCCCCACAGGAAAGAAAATATGAACACTTAATTCAGTAAGACAGAAATGTATCAAATACTAAATCAAATGTGAATATTGCTGAAAGTGAGTCTGTTAAATTCTGCTTTAGTAAATTCAGTAGAGATGGTTTTAATTGTATTTGATGTAGACTTTGCCAAAGAAAAGGCACTACTCCACTCCCATCATGGGATCCACATTACAGTGTTATTCTCTACAATATAAAATGAGGCTCAAGCCACATTTAAGTGGTTTCCAAGGAAACCACCTGTCCCAGGAGAGGTTTGTATAATTAAATTAGTGTTCCTTTGTATGTCAATTAATTAAAAGGATAGATAGGTCTTTAAGCCACTGCTTTCACTTGAACAGGGAGAAAACCACAATTGAATGTGCTTTTACAACCATAGCAGGGCAATAAATAATCCACCCACGTCCCATGCTGCTCATGGTCAAGCCTGAATGTATTGACATCTATCTAACTGATGATGAAAAAAACAAAGAAGGATAAAGAAAAAGGTACTGTACCAAGTGATGCCTGGACATTCCTTGCTGTTGTATTGAATGTCTACCTGCTATCTGCCAAAGGCAGAGAATTCTCAAACTGACGATGGCACGTGTTGAAGATGTGTTTTACTTTGATTTTTTTTTAAAACAATTACCGTATTTTTTTAAATCCCTAATGCAATCATCAGTCACAGATTAACCCAGCTCTTTGTCCCACCCTTGTATCATCATTGGACAGTTGAAGACACAAGTCACTCATCCTCCACAATGATAACTGGCAGGCCATTAGCTGCTTTTAACACTGCAGTCCAACAGCGCAAGGACAAAAGACTGTGTACATATTTAATTGAAACACATAGAATCAAGGCAACCACAAGGGGTCACTTTTTTGCCATTGTGACTTACCTAGAACTCACTAAATCCTGGTGATATCTGGCCATTTATAAATACCCACAGCTTGGGAGTCCAGTCCTAGTCTCTATTATTCAGTATATCCTATCAGGCCTCTAAGTTTATAATAAACTGTTAGTGAAATACATCAGCTGTTACATTTTGAGAAAGCTGAATCAGCAGTTTATTTTAGTATGATCCATAATGGTTTTCCTATATTATTGACTCATTTTGTGTGTATGTACATACACATCAGCCTTGAAGGGTTTTTATAAAACGTTTTATTCAAATGGTCAGGATTACAAATGCTAAGTCCTATTCAGACTTTTAACCTTTTATCCTTATTATCCACAAATCAACTTATGTCATCAAAACATGGAATACTTTTAGCTACCAGCAGGTGTGATTTCAAATGCCAGAGACAAAGAGGTTGTAGGTCTCTCTTTACGCAGGGAGTCATCAACAGCTGTTTGCATGTCTCTCTGTTTATTTGTGAAAAGCATTTACAGAAGGGGATAGGGTGTACTGTAGCAGAGTACTGTAGCAACATGTCGATCCTGGTGCCTTCTATTAGTAGATAACACTAATTCTCAGTGAGCAATTAGGGAACATTAAGCAACATTTTTTATATAATTAAAACAAAATGTTTTCTGCATTTCAGCTTGTATTACAGATCTAAACCTTTCAGCATCAGTAGCAGTAGTAACTCAGTTTTTATTGTTTCTTTTGCAGGGGTACGCCTAGACAGAGTACGTGGAGGACGGCAGAAATATAAACGCCGGATAGATGCTGAGAACAGCCCTTATTTGAACCCACAGCTGGCCCTCCCTGCCAAAAAGCCATGTAAGCCATTTTTTTTCAATTACCGATCATTTATTTAACTTTTGTTCCCACAGTTTTGGAACTGTCAGTGTAATTAATCAATTATAGTGTTACAACATGAGGGACACTTGCATGTATCCCACAAAACAGGAACTTCTATTGTCTGTTCCTTTTCAATCCACATCACAAATAGCAGGGTTACATACAGAGGACTGTCGCAACCCCCAGTGACAACAGAATAAGCAGCTAAATAATCAACCAGCTACAGATGTTCCTGATAAATAGCACATTGTGTGGAGTGGTGAAATGACACTTTGCGTTGCAGATTTACACTAAGTTCTTAGGTTCAATAACAGCTTTGATTGCCAGTGTGTGAGGTGTTTTTCCCCAGGTGCCTTGGTTTCACTCATTTGCTAAAGACATGTAGGATGGGAGGTTTCAGTGTTACCAGAGCATAATGTGAGCAGAGCAAAAACAAAGCCATATGAGCATCATTTCCAATTTTATTTGTAGCCATGCATTAGATGTTCTGATGAACTGAGGACTCCTGGCCAAGCAGACACATTTACAAAAGGCTTAGGGTATCTACATGTGCCATGTAGATCTATAGGAAAGACCTCACACTCTGCACAGGTAAGGTTGCACTCTCACACACTATATAAAACAAAAAAACTAAACTAAACTTTTAGTTTTTTTGCTGAGCAATTGGCCCATTTGTGAGGAGTTATATGTAAACTGGTTTTATTTTTGAATATGTTTTGTTTGAAGATAGTAAACCTGATTATTGTGGCCCAGCAGCTGAATACATTGTGTGAGGTTTAGTTATATGTTGTTTCAAAACATGGTAGGTTGTTAGATAACTCCAAAAAAGAACTACCTCTGTTTGGAGTATTTTAGTATATGCCAAAGATTGCTGTGATGAGCAAATACTTTATAATTCTGTCTACAAACTATAAAGGAGGATTAATTAAATGTAACACAAGTGAAAGGCTTATTCATTTTTCCCCTTACCTAAATATTTCTGTGTGTTACAAAATGAATGCTTTTCATTGGCCTAGCAAAATTGCACATCATAGACTTATTTGCTGGTTAGTCAAATGTGTTATGAAAGTCTTTTAATTTTATTGAATTACCTTTATCCAAAAATAAAATGAAAAGTTGATGAGGGTATTTTAAAAAAAGTCATAAATAGAGAAAGGGAGTGGAAGTGAATCTCCCATGATCCCTAGTTTAGTGACCCTTGTTTCATGAGAAGAAGAAATCCTCTTTTGCAAGATGGGGTTAGTTTACTTTATCTTTAAAACACCCATCATTACAAGAAATTGAAAAATCTTCTTTTACATAAATAAACTGGTGTAAGCAAGGATTTGTTTTGCTTATAACATTAAGTGATAATTTTGTAAATTTGTGCTGTAAAATATTAAGGGTAATCACATTTGTGACTTCCTTTAAGCAGCTGCATATATATAGTATATTTATATAAAGACGGAAAGCTCAGAATGAATTATATTTTGTGAACATTAGCCTTGATAAAACCTTAGCAAAATCCCCAGCCCCCCTCAACCCATGGAAGAAAAAAAAAAGCTTAATCCGGATTAAATCCAATCTGGCAAAGACATCAAACCCACAATACTGAGCTTCCAAACCGCCTGACTGCTCTGCAGACACAGAGGAGAAATGCAGTGCTTAACAGATTTTGGCCATAAACCCCTTTTTACTTAATGGTAGCTTATTCTCACAGAAGACAATATGCTTTTATGTATAGCATGGGAAAAAAGCAGCAAAAAATGTACTGTATATACATAATAATAATCATCTGCTCTATCCCAATGGACCACTCATAGTGGTTTTATTGTGTTAAAATTTACTTTGGCAAAGTTGTTTTTGAGTTTATAGCTGCTATCTTTAATTCCTTTAAAATTAAAATATGCTGATATTTCCTGTTATATTTTATGTACTCTTTTTCTTCCTATATAAAACAACACACTTGGTGGTGTGATAATTCTTTTGTGACAACCGATTAAAGTAATGAGTCTTGATGAATGGACTCAGTGTACAGCTCCCCAAACCTGATTTCCAACACACTGGCCGTGTGTATTTTTCTGCTAACAGATATAGCAGGCATACAAAACACACCCATGTCAGGCTTCTTCTGTCTCTGCTTTGGCAGTGCTGAACACCAGCTAAATTGAAGTCATTTTACAGCAGATACCTCCAACACAGCAAGGACAACTTTCGGTTTTGCAGTGTCTATCACCCCAAACCTTCAATTCCACAGTGAATTAAAGCCATTCTGAGTCTTGCAGGTTTCTGTCAACAAACCACATGTCATCTTTGTTATTGCAGAACAGAGCTTTTTAATATACCGATCAGGAGCACATTAGAATCCATGAATTTATGCACAATTGATTAAAGCACCATGAATTTATGCACAACCAAAAACTTAAATGAACCAATAAATTCTTAGACTTTTTTTAGTTCTTTTCATCTGTTAAAAACACTCATTTCAAGATGAAATGTTGCAGGTGCAGTGAAATCTGCATCTACTGTATGTAAGAAATGACTTTCTTAATAATTATAGTAATTCAGTGGATTAACTTAAAACTTTTTTTCAAAACAAGATAATAACTGGGGTAGGCTACACCAGGACCAGTGCTGAAAACCCATGTTGCTATGTCCTTGATTTGCACAATACTAATATTTTGATTTAGGGGTTTATTAGTAATCAAGTATTTTTATTAGGTGTATCTGTCCCAGTAAAAATAATTGCAGGTATGTTGTTGTTTTTAACTGAATTCTATCATTTGAATTTAATTTTTATGACTATTATTTACATCTTTTCTATAGAAACACATTTCGAGGCACACAGTTTAACTGTTCTTCTGGAATAGGGAAGTGAAATAGACAAGCTCCCAATTCATAGCCTGGAAGCCTTTCTTTGAATAACCTGATTGATTATTTACACATGATAAAGGCATTGGAATTGGAAATTGGGTGGCATTGATTCTAATTAGGAAAACATTAAATAAGATTTACTTAGAGATAGCACTCACAGATATTCAGTCCCTTGTGTGATGAGGCAGTACTGATTGATCTAAAACACTTGTTGTTATGCCTCTGTAAGTGTTTGAATTAAAAAATAATGACTCTATAATGCTTTTTAATTTAGAAATAGCTGGACTGCATGAGTCCAGTCCTGTCTTCAAAACCTGAAGAATATTTTATGTAGTTACACTGCATTGAAGGAAAATGCTAATCTTTTGTTGGTTTTTATTGCTTTATCTAAGAAATCTAAGAAAACAACATATAGTTTCAGTGTTCTTCAAATCTAACAAAAATATTAAGCAATGAACTATCTTAGAATGACTCAAATACAGACTTGAAAGTAGGGTGCAATATCTGTTTATTAATAAAAATTTGTTTTGGTGTAATACTGTATGTACCATTTGTGATAATCAGTGCATTATCAGGGATTTCACATATATTAAGGTCTATGCAGCCCCATCACATTTCAATGCATAGAGTATCAGTCTGAAGTTTGAGTTTACCTCAAAATCCATGTAGAGCACTTTTCTTAAACATTTACTAGGACAAGACTCCAGGGTCGGAAATAAGAGAACCAGTCATTTTCTGTTCTTACAACTTCTGCCTGTGAAATATATTGGGACTTTTATTTGACACATGTTGTGTGAAGTTGCAAAGAATTAAAGCATGTATATACAGAATTAAGTATTTACTGTATATGCGTATACAGTATGGAAGCATACATATATTTATGCATGCAAACAAATACAGTATATAGTTATATATATAGTTCTAAGGGCCTGTTAGACTCTTCCCAATCTCCTAAGGAACATTTTAGTTAACAAGTGTCTATAACTAGATACATTTAAGTTTATTAAATATTCCCTTGTAAATATGAATCTTTTCATTACCTGTAAATGCACATATTGTTTCTAATTTGGTTGTTACTTGTGCTTCGTTGAAAAGGTACTCTTTTGTATTGCTAGTACTAAACAACAGTGAACCAGCAGAAGATCACAGGAATGCAAATCATAACCCCAAAATAATGACATATCATTATTTTATTTTGTTATCTTTGTAACAGCTTTCTCTATGGAAAGGATTGTTAATTATGAAAAGAATGTGACTTACATTTTCTAAAGTTAGTTAATATATTTCTCTATTCATCTTTTTTTTTTCTGTGCATTTGGGTTGTTGTGTTAATGTGATGGTCTCAGATAGTCACCTTGTCACTTTGACAATAACCATCCAGTTATCCATCTCAGAAATGCTCTGTTGGGTTGAAGAATAAATACAATTCATTTTCTACAGTCATTCTAAACTTTTTTATCTATCTTTATAAATATTGCATTAGCTTCTGTTATCATTTACATGCCACTACCAAAAGAGGTTTTCAAATATGCTATCCCACAGAAATACCCAAGTATTTGAAATGATAAATTGTCTTCATGTCTGTCCCTCACAAAAACCTAGTTGACACCACTGTATTTTTTTTTTTTGTTCATGTTCAAATACAGTCCCCTTTGGCTGCCTTGCAGATAACAAGATTGTCTCCCATTTGCTGGTGGCTGAGCCAGAGAAGATCTATGCCATGCCAGACCCCACAGTCCCTGACAGTGACATTAAAGCTCTTACCACACTCTGTGACCTGGCAGACAGAGAGCTGGTTGTCAACATCGGATGGGCAAAACATATTCCAGGTAAGAGTGTTCTTTACAATGTATTCTGAAGTCCTCATTAGGAACAAAAATAAAGAAATAAAGATTCTTCTAAATGACATGTCTTGATATTCACACACATACAGTTTTCTGTAAATACATATTTGTATTTGAATATATTCTTAAATGTTTTGCAGTGTGTATCCAAAATACTTTCACTATACAGTAGATATGTACATACATCATTTGGAAAAGCTATAAAGACACTGTGAAAGTAAACATGAACAGCATTTCAGTTCAGATTAGTTATCAGTATTAATGTCAAAGCCCCCTCAAAGAATTCTCGGATCAGTATATTTTGTAAAAAAATATAATAGAATAGAATAACCTCTACTTTCCAATTTTACAGTTCTTGCTCATTTAACGAATTTCTCATTCTCTCATTATGTCACTGTGCTTTGATTTTACTTGTTTTTTAAATTGATTATTAATCTGAAATTCTTTGGGATTTGCAAAATCTTGTTTTTAAAGTAAAGCTCTCCTTAAATACAGTTATTTCAACCCTTCTAACATTCTACCAGGAAGGAATTAACCTCAGAGAAGCAAGTCACAAAATCTCAGCATCCTGCAGCCATTCTGTATTTCTTCATTTCTGTTAAGAAAAAAATAGGTGTTTTTGTTACTCTACTTAACAAACTTTTTTGAAAATTAGATTATGCATACATTGTTTTGAAAATGGGGGTGGAGAACCTGAATTAATTTGGCAATTAAGTCAGCCTAATTTTATATTAAGACAGAAAGACTACATTTGACTGAGATGTGTTCAGAGCCATTTTCTAGTTTTCCCACGATTATCTAGTTTGGCTAAGTTCCAGTGGAGTTTTGGGTGATAGCCAGTTTAAGAATGGCATGCAGGGTCTTAATAGGTTTATTCCCATTGGTATTGCCAATCCCCTCAGCGGCACGAGCTGTGGGATTGAGTGGCTATTTTAGATTCCCAATGCCAGATTCCCCAAGAGCTTTCACTTCAGGTTTAAGCCGAGTCATCTGTAGGCACGGGTGGAAGCCAATAGCTGCCAGCATCAAGAGATAATCAAAGAACTTGATTTGGACAGCTCCACAGTGGAAGATTTACACAATATTTTCTTATACACTATGTTGGTATGACTGCAGGCCTATTTGCTAAACTGTTAAAGCCTGTTTAACTGGATTTAAGCCACTTACTCCAATGACATACTGCACATGAACATATAACTTTGCAGTTATTGAATTCTAAAAAAAAAATCTGAACACATGAACTGAACACAACGGTGTTAGCACTACATAGTTTTAAAGAAACAGGCTATTTTGTGAAGTATTGATAACAAAGTGAACCAGCACTGTAAAATAATTTTTAAAATGTACAGGATATATACTGTAGGGTGCCTCTGGGAGCTCTAGTATTTCTCTTGTAGCCTTAATTGAGAGGTGGCAGACACAGCCTGTGGGCCAGTTCAGGCCCGCCAAGTCCATTTGTGTGGCCCACAAGACAGTTACGTCCAGAGCTATTGACAAGGTTTCAATTCATTTGGTCTGAGCTTGCAAAGCCCTTACAAGAAGGCACCCTTGGTGATACTACTGCCACAGTCTCACATACACATTGCTCCCTGTGGTTCTCTATCTCTATCTCCAGTTCTCATCTGCATCTATAGATTTAGACAGGGGCATGTCTTACGAAAATGGTGGGGAAAAAATAGACACCATTACACCTGTGTGCAGACTTTCTCCTCCAAATTCTAGAGTGGCCACAGTGAATGAATCAATCACCAAAGGTCTCTCTGAAATTCTACCTAGTGTGTTTTTTTTTTCTCAAAAGGAGATTTTTGAACATAGAGATTAGGGCTCTGTGTTTGTAATTTTGAAGAAAATAAAATTCTGTGGTTCAAGAGAAGTGGAGACTTGTAGAATTGAATGGAAGGTCACCATGATTGCTTTAAACAAGCTTTTCAAAGAGCAATAGCAAAAAGTGTAGTTGTGGCTTTTTTACTGTTTCTGTATTGCCAATATCTTGTGATATCACCAATATCTGGTGTCCAACATTTTTGTCAAATTTTTGTCACGTCTCTTTAACCTTGTCTTTTGCTAATTCTGATTGTCAGCTAAAAACACAAACTCTGCTAATTATGAAACAAGGCAAGATGCTTCTCACTTATCATCACAAGTACAGTGTTAGTCTTATCAGTCCCTCAAGCAGAGTTTACAGGTGATCCAAATCAATAATCCCAAAGCCTGTATAACTCACATTTCAGACATGCAGTTGATATACATGTACAGGTATCCTTTGGTTTGTAAAGGTAATTCTTTCCTCAAAAACGGTAATATGAAATTTTGCATAATGAAAATAAAATTCCCATTACTTTATATATAAAAAGCTCAAATCCCATTTACTAGGTGTAGAAAATCACGCACTATTACTTCCTTTCAAGAGTACTGAATTTTAAAAATAAGAACCATATTATACACTTATGTTAATTAGCCAATTTAAATAAGTTCAGTAGCTAACAAGGCAGAATTTGTAAAACTTGTAAACTAGGTGCAGTGGAGTTGTTGAACACAATGCAAATGTCTTTTGACCACTCACAATCACACTTTTTCAGCCCTGTCTATCACTTCATATTTTAAAATCGGGAGAAATACTTCCCTTATTTCCTTTGCTTTTTAATGCCTAATGCAATGGGAACATCCTTTGCTGATATGATATTAAAATAAGGAGTATATTCAGTAATTAAAACCTCTAAGTAAATAGTACATTAACCCCAACTATTATTTAAAATAATCACAGCTAATAATGCTAAACAATATCACATACTGAGAGGTAATGAGTTAGCTTTACTAAATTGTTATCCAATAAAGATACAATGATTGCACTTCAAAAGGCAGTACAGTATTACATTGCAAAATACCAAAAACTGCTACTGAAATACTGTATATTCAGGTTTCATATTTAGTATTCGTCACCTCTTTAAATAACTTTCACCTCTCTGTGCTAATTGTATAAAAGAGTGGTGATACTGAAGTTGTAGGAGTTGTAGGGGGCATTAATTGATCTCTATAACATTCTTTTCATTTCAATCATAATTGTGATTTCTGCTCAAAGATGGGAGTATGGTGCATGGTGATGAAAGTCTTATATGTAATAAGGGTTTTACAATTGACCAAAGGAAAGGGCGAGTCATCTAAGGGAAAGTGAAACAAAACAAGACTTTTCTGGCACAAAGTATATCAGACAGTTCAGCCTGTGATCTTTATTGATTTTAAGTGAAAGACTGTCCCTCCTCCCCTTTACCTTCAGTGAAACTATTCAGTCCAAGTTGCATAACTTGTCTCCCCCCAAAACTAGTTTGTCTCCATGCTCTATATGGTACAGTAATTTCTTAATCAAATTGATGAAGCCCCCTTTCCCAGAGAGAACTGAAACCAATTTATTGGTCATGATACGGCAGCTATGTTGCTAACAGTCGTAACAAACTGTCAGGCACTCGCAGAGGAGCTAATTTGAAGTCATTAGGTGTGCAGCGTTCGGGCAACAATTTGTTACAGTGGTTAGGAGCACTGCTGACATTTCTGAGCGCATTCGCTTAAGATCAGTTCTAGCTGAGACCAGGCAAATTGTAAACTAATTTAAACATCACTCAGCATTACTGTGGCTTGTGTGTCTGAAACCATTGGATAATGAACCAGTCTGTGTTTTGCTGAATGAAGTTAAAACTGCTCTCAGTTTATGAAGCTTAGCCAAAATCAGGATTCAGAAAAAAAATACTTCACAGTGTAGTTTTAAATAACATATAGGCCTATAGTTTCATGTTAGTAATTTATATGGATTGACGTCAAACATTTTATTTTGACAATCCAAAATTATAGCAAACAAGTATACTTACTGGATACTTTTCTTTATCAAAAAGGTAAATTCTGATGTCATAGTGTTATTGTAGCTTGGCACCATGCTGTTCTTTATTAAATTTAGTTATCATTAATCCTAAAAGAAATGTAGCATTATAAATGCTAGCTTTATTATAGTTAGTACAGTAATAAACTGTTTCAACATGACATTTCTTTTGAACATTGTAAAACACAGTGCTTCAAAGACTTTGGGATGTTCAGGCAAGAGATTCCCTATATTTAAGGAGTAAAACTTCCACTTCAATCTACATAATGTGGAAAAGATGATAGCATTAAATGGAGGATTCCAATTCAGTAAATTTAAGCATTCTGTCGTATTTTTTGTGGTATTTTGTTGTAATTTTGTGGTAATTAGTAGCAGTGTGTATGCGGTGTTGTTTGGGGGGTAGGTTTGAGCAAGGGGGGGAAGCAAATTAGAATGAAAGGAGAAAGAAGACATTCAGAATACATTGAACCAATGTTGTTAAATAAAAATAAATGAGAAAGCACTCTTATGGAATTCTGACAAGCCTTATCTGTGAGCAGGAAGTCACAATGGCAGCAGACAGCACTTGACTTTTGTTAAAGGAACAAGCAGGTACAAGAATGGACAGTGGTGCCCTAATAGTCCCTTTTTAGCATGACAGGGTCCCTACTATTAGCATCCTTTTATACTCCTGGAAATTGCTTAGGCTTCTCCCATTCTAGCTCCTATCTTCTGGACTCTTTCTTTATTTCTCTTTCAATTTTCGTCTGCGCTTGGATAAGCGCATGCTAACACAATATGATTGAGCTGTAAAATGGAACCCTGTCGCCTCTAATCTCTTTTATGTAGATACTAAGGTACTTCCACACTCCACTTCATTCTCTCTCTCTCTCCCTCACTCAGCTCCTATTGTCAGGCAGGCACATGCAGAATGAGCTCTGGAGCAGTAGAGACTCGGTCAAATATTAGAGCTAGGTTTCACGGGGGCGTGATAAGGCGATTATCGGCTCAGTGGTCAGACGTATTGTTGTTCTGTGTGTCGGATTAGAATATTCGCATGGAACCTCGTTAACAAAATGCTGGAGGTGCTTACTCAGGCTCTGTGCTCCCGAGCCGCCTCATCTCCTGCTTGATTGAG